TACCTTACCCCTTATTCTACTTCCTTATTTTAGCTATCTCCCCTTTACCTCTTATTCTTTTAGTTTCTACTATTACTACTTTTCTATTACTGCCCTAAACCTACACTTAATACTTTACCTTATTAGTATTAGTAGAGGGTATTTTCTTATTTAGTATATATATACCTAAAGAAGCCTAATTTACTAAAAGCCTAGGTTAAGCCCTATTAATCCCTAAATTATAGTAATAGATTACGTTAGGTGTATAACTTAGTATATAGTTAACTAGCCTCTCTTAGACTAAAGCTATATAGGAAAGTATATATTTATATTAGTAATACTAAAGGCTACCTAAAGTAGAGGTCTTTAATATAGAATCTAAAGGAGCAAAGGCTAAACTAGTCTTATTACTTTAGTATATTTAGCTAGATAAAGACAGAATTACTATTTATATTAATAATACTATAGTTATTTTAGCCTAGCTGTTATAATCTGTTAGGAAAGAAGGAAAGTAGGGAAAATAGTAATCTTCCTAGACCTTTAATTAGCTAAAAAGCTCTTATATTATGGGTCTAAATATATAAAAGATAATAAATAGAAAGGTCTAGACCCACGCGTGGCCAGCTGGCGCGCGCTTTTAAGCGGGCCGGCGATCACGTTGGCTCTTCTAGGCCCTGTAATTCGTAGCGTAACAATTGCCGCCCATTAAAGAAAGTCCTTACTGCCCTCAGTAACTGCCATCACTATCACCCTCATCTCGGCCCTTACTTTGGCCCTTATTGTTATCGTGGCCCTCACTTTGGCCCTTATCTTTATCGCTTTGGTTAATCGCCGGCTAATTAGTAATAGGATCATCCTCATCCGGCCCACTGCCGTAGCTGCCCTCACTATAGTAACTACCCTTGTAGCTGCCTACTTTACGGAGTACTACGGCTGTTGTTACTATAGTGGCTGCCGCTAAGGTTAGTGCCTTCCTCTATCATAAAGTAGGCCTAGTTGCCGCTAAGACAGACCGTTACCATAGACTCTTGTTAAACCGAATAATCGCTAGTAAGCAAGCTAACAGTAAGGGGTATAGCGGCCGCTGTGATAGGTATAGCGTGCTAGCAGAAACAGAGATTAGATACGGTTAGTCACGTACAGGGTGGCAGGGCTAAGTTAATTACTCCTATGATGTTACCCCCTACAGCTGATATCGTAATAGGGGGTGAATATTCACCAAAAGTGAAGTCCTGTAGTAGGGGGGTGAACATTAGTTACCTAACAGGGGTAATTAACTTTGGCCTGGTACTATTGTACGTCAGCAGGAAGTCAGGGTGCAAACCTGGCTGGCTAGGTACGTGGGTAGGTGGGTTAGTGGTTTGACCGCCTTCTACCTTAGGCTTAACGTAGTAGATACACGCTAACTATTATTAGCTAGCTTGCTTACTAGCGGTTATTTGATTTAACGAGAGTCTACGGTACTACTAGAGGATTTAGGGCTGCTTTTTTACCCCTTCTAACTAGCTGACTTTCTGGTAGTTATAAGCGTATATTAACCTTCCCTTTTAAGCGCATGGACTCACAGTTAGAAGAGATAAGGTTAACATGCGTTTTATAAGGTGGGGCTCTTCTAGAGGCCGTGCTTGCCGCCAGGGCCAGCCTCTCTTCCTTTAGGGAAAAGGTAGTAGAAAAGCGACTATTTTCCTTATAAAGGAAGTAGCTCTCCTTAGTAGAGGCAGATTTACTAGAGGCCGCTACAAGTCAAGATCTAAGGCGTAGTTATTATAAAGTAAAGTAAGAAGGCGTTATTACTATACCTGCCTTTTAAGATTAACAGGTGTAGTAGTAAGCTTTAGTAATAAGCAGGCTAGCAGATTGCTGCTTGCTTAGTTATGCTACTATTTATTATAATCTGTTAGGAAAGAAGGAAGGTAGGGAAAATAGTGATCTTCTTAGACCTTTAATTAGCTAAAAAGCTCTCATATTATAGGTCTAAATATATAAAAGATAAAGAATAGAAAGGTCTAGAGCCATATGTGGCCGGCTGGCGCACGCTTTTAAGCAGGCTGGCGATCACGTGGGCTCTTCTAGGCCTTGTAATTCGTAGCGTAAACACTAGCTATAAATAAAATACATATAATAAGCTTATAAGTAGCTATTTACTATAGTATCAGGCTAAAGTTTAACCCCCTCGTCAGGTAAATGTGGCCGTGCTTTTTTGATTATTTTAGCGACGGTACTTTGAGGTTCTTGTGCACATCTACCATAATTCTGGCCAGTGAGAGTCTCTCATACGTGGGTCACAACTCCACACTACCTGTTATGAAGTTTAAACTTACCTATCATACCATAGTAAGAGTTCTTACTAAAAGTAAGGGTAGTAGCTAGGCTTGTTATAGTTAGGTACGTATTAGGATATAGAGATACTAGGGAATAAAATATATATCTCCTAGCTAAGCGAAGCGTAAGTATAAATACGCCCGCTAGATTTTACTATACGTAACTTTTAGGACTAATAGGAATAAAATCTCTTATAATAATATAAGTAGCTAAGAGTACCTATAAATATTAAGCTAACAGAAAAAATTACCCTCCCACGCGGTAAATTACATCACCTTATTATTACCCGCATAGGGTATAGTAATTTTACTCTATCTACCCGTTCCATTTAGAGGGGAAGCGAGCTGATGTGACGCGTGAGGCATGAAGCGTGAGCCGCCGCACTTTTCCAAAGACAGGCTGCATCCCACCGGCAACGACACCTCGGCAACGGTGAAGGGTGGGGGGGGGTTAGTCACTCCGCGCGCTCTTCTCATGTAATATTCTTCAACGAGGGTGGCTGCGGTCCTCGCTCGAGGTCGGCTATGCGGTCGGCCGCCCACTCTGCAGGGTCTGCCATGGTTGGTCTCGTCGTCCGACCTAAAGGCGCGAGGAAGGATATAGTAGTGCCTGGTCCCCTGCCTCCCCCTACACATGAATGGAAGCTCCCTGTAGCAAGCTCGCTGTGCTCGTGGAATGCGGTTATTGCGACTGTAGATAACCCTGCAGGTTGGAGGCCGGCAATGCAACACAGGTCTATGAACACTAATTAAGGGGGTAGCGGGCTTTGATACTATGTTAACGTGGAGGCCGTCCGCCCCCACCCACTCGCTATATGTGTGCTGTCCTCGCAGCGAAGGTCCAGCAACGCGCGACAAAATCGTTTCTACGCGAATGGAATAACACAATAAGACCGCAGTACCAACTTGCTGTTAGCCCGGTGCACCACTTAGCGACAAGCAGCCACCTGTAGGCACTTTACCTTTGCCTTATTGCAGTTATACATAATGCCTCCTATGAACCCCTTGCGCGGCGGCCCTAGCCGCAGCAAACGTGGTACTGCGTGTTAAGCGCCCGCCAGACCAACCACGACAGAACCGTCTCCGTAAATTGCAGTCCCATACTGCAAGTTGCACAATCAATGCGGGAAGACAAACAAGACGCGCGACTGCAAAGGAAAGCTAACTATATTAAAATGCAACCCGTAAGGTTTACTATATCCCTCCCTACGGAACGTAACAAGCTACAGCATAAATGCTTAGAGGACTCTGGCGGAGAGAGAAGAAAGGGGGCGGAATAAGGTGTAGGGAAGATGCTTGTTTACTAGACTTAGGACGGAGGACTTAACAGACAGCCTGGTGGTTAGGGGCACTAAGCCGTGAGTTAGTACGCGCTTGCTTATAAGGAAGAGATAAGGGCCAGACTTAGAAGGCATAGCGTAAGGTGTAGGGATATATAGAATATTGTTAGTCTCTCCGTCCGTATAAGAAGTAAAGTGTGAGTAGAAGTATCTGTATATTATTACTATTAGTAGAAATTAGGCTTATAACTTGGATATGTCCGAAAGCTTGTGGAAAAGCCTGAAAACTCTGGAAGAAGCCTTGGTGATAGGGGGTTAAGTGAAGATTATATATTACTACTTGCTAGCAGGCCGAAAGAAAGTATCTTTGCCTGCTAACTAACAGATACCCCCTTTACTATCTGTACAGTCCTTCTAGCAGCCTGACAGCCTGCCCGCTAGCTGTTAGGATAGCCCTCTATCTACTGAATAAGAAGGCATAGAAGCTGTATGCTGACTCTATCATCTGTGGGTGCAACCTGGTGGGGATATTCTATTTTTCCCTGCTACTGTGTGTTATCGTGTGCCTGCGCGAGCTTAAGAGGGGCCGCTTGACTCGTACGTTGTGGTAGCTGAGAAATCGGGCGCCCTCACTCACGGTCCTTGACTTTATCGGTCCAGATTAACACCATAGCCCCACAGTCACTCATTGCCGATGAGGCAACTAATTCGTCTGTGCAAGTTCATGGGCTTAGGTACTACAAGCAGCATGGCCGCTGCTACGAGCGTCTTCTAAGGCGTATCCGATTGTGCATAAACAGCGCCTTTTACACCTTGTAGTGCATCGCTGGATTCCCGTCAGCCTTGATTTCCACTGACTACAATACCTAGATAGGCGCGCCTGCTAAGGCAGTTGGATTAGGTAGTAGCGGTTTGGGGGTAATTAGTTGACGTGTAGGGCCGCTGTTGATTAAACTCTACAATGGTGTTCATAGCTGGCTGGCTGGACTTGCTATAGCCGCACAGGAGATGTCGTGCACGTGTGTTTCTATTCCTCTCTATTAAGCATATGTATGTATATTAATTAAAGCTTACGCATTGTTAAACCATGAATTAGTCAATATAACGTTATTTCCCACTACGGACTAATATACGCATGAAAACAATCTCCGCGCAAACTGATCTCCTCCTTGGCGGCTCTATCTACTATCGGAACCCGATCATAGTAAACCACGAGCTCACTTAGGAGTCTTGTGTGTTTAGTATGATCAAACGCTAAAAAAGCCACTCTGTATTTTTGTATATAAGGACGTAGTCATCCCACTCCAAGAGACTTTTACAATCCAGGTCATCATCTAACACAGCATCTCAAACTACTTACATTCACTTACACTATTCCTACTCATCAGTACCCGCCTATAACATCCCTCCAGTCGTCAACATGCGTTTCTTCCAAGCAGCTGTCTTGATTTTCGGTCTGTCCAGCGCGGCCTGCGCCATGCTTGACCAGGCTGGCCATGAACAAACCGATATTGAAGCTCGTGTCGTCGAAGCCAACGAGCTCGAAGCTCTCTACGAAGCTGACCTCGAAAGTCGCGACCCTGCGGTCAGACCCAAGAGGCCCGTCAGGCCGGGACGCGATGGATGCAAGCCACGCAACGCAGTTTGCTCTTCTGATAGCCAATGCTGCAGCAATGATTGCCACCTTGCTGGCTTCTGCGAGTAATCTTGGTAGCAGAGATTGCTACAGCTCCATGATGTTTGTACCCCAAGCCTTTTTTTTTTCCCTACCTTTACCTATCTACATCTACTTACTAAGTTATGTTTAGAATGGTGTTATTCCTCTCGGTACAGCTACAAGGCTGTCAGGGCTTGATTTATGTGTGATGAGTTTAGAATTTTCTGAGGATCGTTAGGCTTGGAATGGAAAGATTTGTGTGTCAATGGTCATTCGGGACTTCCTTTTTCTTTTTTGTCAGGATTGATTGATTGATTTATTCCTACACGGTTATGAAGCTGCTCTTTAGTTAGCAGCTATGCCCGGATAGTAGGGTCTGGCAGACAGCCGAAGCGGTCAGAGGTTAATCCAATCCGCCCCACATCGCTAATACAAAACGTTAACTAGCTGTCCCTAAATTCCTACTTTATACTTTAACCTCTATCTATATTTACCGCCTATTAAGGGAGCACAACAGCGAGAAGTGAGGCGCAATAGCAATGGTATTGTGGTGATCTGTAGTGGTGTGTGGTAGTAAGGAAATCCTCCTCTCAAGGCTATGGGCAGAGGCTAGTAATAAGGTGAGGGGCCCAGGAGGTCACGTGACCTCCCAGCACACGGGCCCCCTCACAACACTCCCCCTCAGGCTCTACTAACTTGATAAATATCGTACATAAGGGTAAAATAACAGCCTAATCTTAAATTCTCTAAATCTAAGGAGGTTTTAAAGTATTTAATAACTTTAGCTATATGCTAGTCATTATCTTATTAGTCTAGTAATAATTAATTTATATACTAAAAGTCTATATAACATAAATATAACATAAAGTAAATCGTCTAAATATATAAGAATTAGTAGACAGGTATAAGGTATTAATTTATAAGTATAACTCTTACATAGGTATACTAATTATATACTTTAATTAGCTTATAAAGAAATTATTAGTGTAGCTAAATTCTACTAGGCCTATAAAAGATAGCCTACTTTTTTTATTTTCTATACTATTTTATTAATTTAACCTTATTATTCTCCTTACTATTTACTTACTATAGCTTTAAAAGGTGTTTTATATTACCTAACTTAGCCTATTTACCCTCTTAAGACAAGATATATTATTTATAAGTAACTATTTGTTAATTATAACTTAAAACTATCTATTAGTTATTTTATATTTACCTCCTTAGAAACTAGCTATACTAGTATTAGCTATTTTTATAAAGTTAGAGACCCTTAGGGGTAGTATAACCTTATTACTAAGCTCTTAGTTAATACTTTATATAATATATAACCTTTTTAATATTATAAACCTTATTACCTTATTATAAAGCTAACACCTTACCTTAAATACTATTTCTTTAAGAGAACTAAAAGAATCTAGTAAACTACTTTCTTATAACTTTTTTTAAAGCCTAGCCTATTTTCCCCTAATAAATAGTCCTAATAGCCTCCTTATTTTACTATAAAGTAGTTTAATAAGGTCTTTAACTTTATTTAATAAGTTATTAAGACTAATTACTAGCTATTAATAGTACTTCTTTAATAATAAAACTATACATATTAATAGTAAAAAACTTAAGGTCCTTAATCTAACTTACTACCTTATTTGCCTTAATAACTATTTCTTTTAAAAGTAAAGTATTTTTATAAACTCTAGCCTCTTATTATACCTTAAGTAATTAATTATTCTTTTTTTTTAGTAAGGTTCTAAACTTACTAATTCTTAGTAACCTAAAACTAACTTTTAATACTTTCTTTAATAAAGTTAATACTTTTACTAAAGCTTATAGATTTAGTGTTATAAAGTAGTATAAATACTAGGCTTATAGCTAGGTTATATAATACACTATTTAATATAATTAGTTTAGTAAGCCTAGGCTTATAAAAGGTGCTAGTATTTAAAAGTATAAGTCTTAAAAAATAGCTATAAATAGTAAATAATTATAAAGGCTCTTAAAAAAAGAAATAGCTATTATATTATTATTAAGACTTTTTGTTATAGGATAAGGTAGTAAGTGCCTATAGTTAGGAGACAGACAGATAGTAGGGACTAGATACCTAATATATACGTAATACGTTAGATATAACCTAGGTATATATCCCTTTAGTAGGTAACCTTTTATAAAAGAAAAGTTAACTATAAATATACCTCCTATCTATTACTTATTTTATCTTATATTATTTATTTAGCTTCTTATAATTATTTACTTTAATTTACTACTTTACTATTACACTTTACCTTTATATTATATTACTTTATAACACTACTATAGACTAGCTTTATCTTATTAGAACTATAATAGCTACTAAGAAGGCTATATTAAGTAGTAGTATAACTATCTTAATTTATACTATTTTATTATTTTTACTATTTTTATTATTTTTATTAATTTCTTTTTTACTACTATATAGTAAAGAAATATATACACCCTAATAAAAGTAATAATCTTAAAGGCATAGTATACTAAAAACACTTTAACTTAAATAAATCTCTAACCTTAAGTAATTTTATATAACGTATATAATAAGTAAGCGCACTAGATAAGTAAGCGTACTACTAAACTATAACTATATAATTATCTAACTTTTCCTTTTTATTCTTCTACTAATAATAATAAAATTAACTTATAATAAAGCTTAGGTATAGCTAGCTATCTAAGCGTATAAAAAAGATCTAAAACTTAGTATTTAAGCTATAGTAAAGATATATAACGTTAGTTATAATTTAGTAACGTGTTAATTAAAGTATATACTATTATAACGTAATATTATACCTAACTTATAGAATTTAATAGAACTTAAAGAGAGGAAGCTAGTTAAGTTTATTCTTAACCTAGATTCCTAATTATTTCCTTTCTACCTTAGTAGTGTTAAAGAAATAGCTAATTAACTACTTACTAACTATAACACGCCTCTAGTTAGTAAGCACTAGGCCTTAAACTTTATAAAATAAACACTAAAGCTCTAAATACGTTTTTTTATAAGTATAACTATAAGAGAGCCTAATATAAAGATCTTAATATAATAAATATATAGTTCTCCCTTATAATAAATATAATTATAAAATATAGTATTATAAAGTTAGATATCTATAACTTTAATAAGACTAGCTTTATAATAGGCTAGATTATATCTAAAATAGTTATTATAAGCTCTAAAAGACGTTTAAATATAAAGATAGTATAGCCTAGTAATAAAAAATAAGTTATAGTTATTTAAGCTATTAGTTTGTTTAGTTATAGCGTCTTACTATATATTATTATTAGAAGTAAAAATCTCCTCTTTACTTAGTATACTAAATCTAGTCTCTTACTTACTTAGGTTATTATAATATCTAAAAATAAATAGATAATAAATAAAAAAGGCTTAAATTAGCTTTAGTACTTTAATAAATATTTAAAGTTATATATAAAAAGAAAATATTACCTTCTTATTATTAATAGGTATAAAAGTTACTACTTTATAGACTTTAAGCTATATTATAAAAAAAAAATATTATTACTTTTTATATACTACCTTATTTATTTTATTTACTTTAGCCTTTAGATATTAGGTGTTTTAGGCCTTTAGAGCTAGTATATAGTTAAGAAATTAAAGATAAAATATAATAAGGTAATACTTATATTATAAAAAATAACTTCTTTTTAGTATTTTATAACGCCTTTAAGTAAGCTTTTATAAAAGTAAATATTTAAAGAGGCTTTAAAGGGGTAAGGCTTATCCCTTTAAGTCTAGAAAGTGTTCTATTAAAGCTAGATGTTAAGTTATACACTTTAACACCTCTAAGATCCCTTCTAATAACACCACTAGCTTAGACTTCCTAGACACTATATAATATAATAGAAATATCTTCTTAAAAAGCTTTTATTAAGGATTACTTAATTAATTATCTAGATAGCTTCCTAATATATAAATTAATAGCTACTAAGTATATTCTTAAAAAAGCGTTAGGAATTATATATAAGAATACTTTATTAAAAGCTAAGGCTAAAACCCTTTATAATAAGAATAACCTACTTAACTAATATAAAAAGGTAAAAAAAACTTATCTAAAGTAAGGAGGGAGTCTTAGTGTAGCTAATATATAGGATATTTAGTTATAAAGAGAGGCTATAGCTTAGGTATAAGAGGAAACGTATTAAAGTAGTAGTAATAGACTAAAGATAGAAATAGGTAAATAGTAGTATAGCACCTATAAGAACACTAGATATAATATATAAACGTACTAGTTTAATAAAGTAATATCTAAAAAATAGGATTCTAAGTAGTTTAAATTAATTTTATTATCTTATAGTTACTTCTTAGTTATATTTATAAAGTAGCTATAGCTTAGTAGTACGCTTACTTATTTAGTATACTTACTTATTATATATATTATAGCTTTAGTAAAATCTAACTTATAAGGTTACTTAGTAGCTACCTTAAAGTCTTTATAATAATATATAATCCTTTATAACTATAGAGTTTAATAAGGATATACTATACTACTAGAGCAGGGTAGGGCAATTAGCCTAAAGCGAGACAGTATACAGTCTAATCAGAAGATCTTAATCCCTAATTTAAGTATAGAGATATAAGCTAGTGTTAATAGATTTAGAAATAGACACGTATAATTTATCCTTTATACTTATACCTACTTTTTAATTAAACTAAAGCCTCTCTATAATTTACCTTTAATTATAATAACATAAGATAATTAGAAGTAATTACCTACCTAATTAGGGTATAATTATACTTAATCCTATAGTTTAACACTTTAATTAACATTAATTCTAAATAAATTAATATAATTTATATACTAATTAGTAAGGAATCTTATATTACTTTTAGTAGTTATAGTGTTCTATATAGTTACTACACTATAAGAGTCCCTTATACCTTATACGCTTTTAATAGTCTCCCCTTTTAGAATATTAACTATAGGTTTAAACTAATTAGAGAGATATCTAGTTAAGCACACTAAGTAAGTAATTATAAAAAGTAATAATAATAAGATAATAAGATTATAAGAAGTAACTAATTAAGAGAATAAAGAAAACCTTAAAAAGATAATAAGATAATAAAGTAATAAATTAGTAACTTAGATATAGAATTACCTATTATAGACTAAATAATAAGTTAGAACCTTTAAGGTTACT